CACTCAGCGGGGGGCCGCCCCCCCCCTGAGCACCCTGAGGCTCGAGGGTCCCCCACCAGTTGCCTTTCATGGACCCTGATGGGGGGGGTGGGGTGGCAGGGAAGGCAGTGGGCATCGTGACGACGACGCGGGTGCAGCACGCATCCCCCTCGGGGACCTACGCCCATGTGGTGAACCGCGACTGGTATGCGGATGCCAGCATGCCCGCAGATGCCCGCCGTCAGGGCTGCAAGGACATCGCCTGGCAGCTGGTCCACAATGTCGACATCAATGTGAGCACCTATGCATGGGGGGAAGCAAGGGCAGGACCCCCTGGGCGCCCGCACTAACGCTGTGCCCGTCTCGTCCATTCCAGGTGATCCTGGGGGGCGGTCGGAAATACATGACCCCCGTGGGGACACCGGACCCTGAGTATCCCACCCACAACACAACGAATGGCATACGCGAGGATGGCAATAACCTCATAGACATGTGGCTGAAAGCACGGAAGGTAGGTGACCACGAGGCAGGACAGTCCTCTGCCCACCACCCCCAGGCACGGGACCAGGCACCCATTGACCCCCCACCATGGGATTTACCCGCAGGGTGCCCGCTACGTCTGGAACAGGACGGACATGCTGGCTGCCGCCGCCGACCCCAATGTGAATTATTTGATGGGTAACAAACATCCCACACTCTGGGACCTGGCAGGCACCAGGACGTGTGCAGGCACTGAGGCTGTCCCCAATGTGTCCCTTCCCAGGTCTCTTTGAACCCGTGGACATGAAGTACAACGTGGTGCGTAACGCCACCCTGGACCCGTCGCTCACTGAGATGATGGAGGCGGCCATCACCATCCTGAAGAGGAATCCCAGGGGCTTCTACCTCTTTGTGGAAGATAAGTCAGGGCCGGTGCCCCTGGGGCGGGCGAGACGGGGGATCTCACATCCCAGGGTGGGGCTAAGAGTTGGGGGTGCTGCTGTCGGTCCCCAGCCCACCATAGGTGCCCATCTGCAGGCGGCAGAATTGACCATGGCCACCACGATGGTGAAGCCTTTAAGGCGCTGACAGAGGCAGTGGAGTTCGACCGGGCCATCGGGCGGGCAGGCGCCCTGACAGATGAGGCAGAGACCCTCACCGTCATCACCGCTGACCACTCGCACGTCTTCTCCTTCGGCGGCTACACCCTGCGCGGCTCCTCCATCTTTGGTAGGGCTCTGACCAGCCACCAAGAGTGGGACATGGCCCCATACTGGGCACTGCCAGCTCTAGGGCACCCCAGCTACGGCTAGAGGGGTGATACAGGGGCTTCTTGGCTGATCCCCCACCTCCATTGCCCCCTCCTCAGGTGTGGCCCCCAGCAGAGCCACTGACGGGAAGAACTACACCTCCATCCTCTACGGGAACGGGCCAGGTTACCCGGGCGTTAACCGGACCAACGTGGACAATAACATAGCCGGTGAGGGCACAGGGACCATGGGCAGGTGCTGGGATGGGGCTGGGGGCCACCACTGCCCCCCTCACCCACTTCTTCCCCCTCCCCAGGGCAGTATGACTACAAGCAGCAGGCGGCCGTGCCCCTTGACTCGGAGACCCATGGCGGCGAGGACGTGGCCATCCTGGCCAAGGGCCCCATGGCCTACCTCTTCCACGGGGTGCAGGAGGAGACCTACGTGGCCCACGTCATGGCCTATGCCGCCTGCCTCGAGCCCTACACCAGCTGCCGCCAGCGGGACTCTGCCCCCGGCACCCGAGCCACCCCTCTGGCCCTGCTCCTGCCCACCCTCCTCCTGCCTCTCTTCCACTGACCCCACAGGCGCTGCCGGACCTGCATCCCGCCATCCCCATGGCTGCGGTGCCCGTAGGTGGCCACCAGCTCTTTGGAGCATCCCTAGTCCAGGTGCAGCAGCCGTGGGGCACCAAATCCTGAGCACAGGGGGACCCTAAGCCACCCGCGTGGGGTGGTCAGTGGTTAATAAACCTGGAGTGTGATGGTTCCCGTGCTGTACAGGCAGAGTTGGGGGTGCCGCCTGCTGCTGCCCGTCCCCCGGCCGCGGCCCCTTGCACCCACCCGGCATATTCAGCACTTTATTGACCAGAAAGAGCAGCGAAAAATACAGCACCCATCCATGTCCCTGTGCTCCCGGGGCAGGCTGGCATCACCCACCCTGAGCCCTGCCGGCTGCGCCCACCCAGTAGCAGGGCTGGCGTGGGGACGGGATGGAGCTGACACGGGGGGGGCCGGGGAGGCCACTGAATAAGGGGGCTTTTGGTGTGGGGCGGCCCCAGAGCGTCTCTGGTTCGCTTCCCCTGTCTCAACCGGTGCTGGGTTGAAGGGTAGGGCTGGGTGAAGGGTTTGGGGGTGGGTGGACAGAAGAGGCTGTACACAGTTGCCTGGGGGGGTGCCCTACATCGCCTCGTTCCTCCACGGGGACTCAGAGCCCCCCCCAGTTTGCAGGGCAGAGTAGGAAGGGGATGAGCAGCCAGCAGCCGCCTCTGGGCAGGAGCTCATTTCCACCCCAAGTGTCTCCCCGCTGCCTCCACCCCTCCGGCAGGTGCCTGTTTTTGGGGTGGTGACCGCCTGCATCACCTGGGGGTGCCCCCTTTGCCTGGAGAGTAGGAGGGGGTGTCGGGAGGAGGAGGGGAAGCGGGCACGGGGTGGCACACGGGCAGGGACGGGGATGGGGGGGTGCCAGCCTGCCGGGGTGGGATGGGGCTCACCACACCGAGCACTTGTGCGCCGGGTTCATGGGCGAATTCTTGGGGCAGTGGAAAACCCGTCCAAACTCCTCAAACTGCGAGACGCTGCCCAGGACCCTGCCGGGAGAGGGGAGCAACTCAGAGCCGGGCACCCCCTGCCACCCCCTCCCCGTACACCCCATTCGGGGCACCTGCTCACCCCAGCAGCACCCCATCCCCTGCCCCAGGGATGCCTTCTGGTGCCATGCTGGTGCCCCCCGCACTTTGCGTGGCACTGCCAGATGTGGGAAAGGCTGGCACCTGCCGTGCCTCCCCGCTTCGGGG